AAAGGACTAAATTAAACCTTTTGTTTCTAGATGGAGATAATGTAATCTCCAAAATTTTATTAAGCCTTTTTTTTTATTTTCGGATTTTAACTAGATTTTTATTTCATGTTTTGATCCCTATAATGTGATCCCTTACTTTGTTTTGATAATTGAAATTTTGTTATGTGTGATTTTTGCTTCTACCTTATGCATAATGAGTTTTTTGGTTTTACCGATCCTATGTCTTTTTTAGCTTTTAATAAAGATTTTCTTCCTATTTTGGTATGTATTCTATGATCTTTATTTTGTTTTGGTAGCTAAATTTTTGTCATTTTGCATGTATTTATAATCTTTACATTTTGTATTGCATCAAAGCTATAACAAAGCTTTTTGAGTTCATTCATTTATGTCGACATGATATTCTTCTTCTTTTTTCTACTCAACAATAACTAAAAAGTTTGACCATACCAAGACAAACAAACTCTAGATAAAAAAATATATAGATTTTGATAAAAAAAAATATAACCATCCAAAATTCAAAAAATGACTACATTATTATTTTAATTATCCGTTGTTACACATGAATTTAATAAAATGTTTGATTGTATCAAGTAAAATTTAATTAGCCATATTAAAATTTTCAATTTTGTAAGTTTTTTTTTAATTTATTTCATGTGATCCCTTTAAATTATTGTTTTGTGTAGAATATCTTTTATTGCAAACATCGTTTTGTTTTGTTTTTTTTTTTATTATTATTTTTTTTATAAAAGTCAACTTGAGATTTTTTTTATTTTTATAAATTAGATTTGTTAATTTAAAAGTTTTAAAATAATTCATTTCTATATAGTTTTAAATTTTTTTATTGTCACTAGCTATTACATCAATTGTTATATGGTGAATACCCGAAAAGACTATGTAACTTATCATGCAACAACACACGGAATACATGTTAGTATATCAACTAATGCAAGCTCTTTGGTGCATAGTGCTTGCTCATATTCTATAATATTTGTAGAAGAGAATAAAATTCCAGGGATTTTTTGATGTTTTAATTTGGAGAAAAAAAGTGGAGGGGAAAAAAGTCTTTCACTGTAGTTTTTACTGCCACAACAACTTCTCACACACACTCAATAATAAATTGGATGCATAAAAAATAGCATGGAAGTTCTTGTCATCAAGGACTTTGGTTGTAATTACCTCTAAAATTTCAAATTTCTTCGTGTACGGAATTAAAAGGAACGTATAACTACAATTAAAATTTCTACGTAAAATAAATGCATGTAGTAAGGATTAATGTTATGGATGGTCAATGCATTGGATTTAGATCCTTTTAGGTATTCGATCGAGGAGACGAATCTTAATTGATACTTGAATATTTATACGTAACTATGAAGTGCTATTGACATATGAAGTGCTATTGGCATGCTAATTCAATTGTCTAACCAGAGAATTTTTTTAAAAAAATTAGTACAAAATGATGAAATTGTCTGTTTAATTCTATTTGACTTATTTAGGCCATCATTCTATGACTCTAAACTAGCCGACTTTCTAACGGTTGAATCCTCCAGAATTTCCTCTTTTTGCTGCATTTGATGACTCAAAATGTGAAACTGCATATGAGAATTGAGGATTTTTTTTTCCTTTCCTTTTTCCTTCTCGATACGCAAAGGAAGAATATACAAGAAAAGAGAAGGTGAAGGTTCGTTTTGGATAGAGGGGGAATAAAAGTGACCTTTACATTGCCATTTGAAGGTTTGTTTTGCTAGAGAGAGAGACAGCATGAAGCTTTTTAGGAGTAGACAAGAAACAGAGTACTATAGGACCTTGAAAACGAGGGGAAAAAAAAGTGCACATGTACCTCAAATTTCTATTTTACGAAAAATTGTAATATTCAATTTTAAAATGATCTGCATGTGCAATGCGTAGGGGTAAAAGGAGAAATTCTATAATACATCGGGAGTAATTAGTGATATGTATAGTAGTTATTTCATAGGTTCATTTTGAGGAGAAAGATAGATAAAAAAAAAAAAAGGAGAAATATGAGAGAAAATAAAAAATTTGAACGGATGTGGAAATCTTTTTATCACTTTTGATGAGTATGAATGTAATTTTTTTTTTTTTGTCTATCTCTTTTCTCTAAATGGACCCATAGAATAAATATCGTATATGTCACTAATTACCCCGTGTATTATAAAATTTCTCGGGCAAAAGCTAGTGTGTATAAACAAGGAAAAAAGTCCCATCTTATTGATGGATGTTTATATCATGGATATAATTTGGCTAAATTTAATCTTTCGAAAAACATACTCTATTATATAATAATAATAATAATAACGTAGTGCACCATTATTATCAAGAACAAAAACGACGAACTTTTCCAAAGTAAGCAAAGAATGTATCGTACGTATCATTGAACTCTTAGAAAATATCCATTTACAATTGAATACCAAAGTTACAAAATTGAAAACAAAAGAGAGAACGAATAACATAGTTGTATTAGTCTCCCTAATTAACACTTTTGGCTACATATGCATGACTTCACGGTTTCCATATTTGAGTCAGACTACCTGTATGTCTTATTCTATGAGAAGAATGCAAACATGTGTAAGAAGAATACCATCAAGAGAGAAAGCAAATGAGTAAGCACCAGAAAATTGGTTCTCAAATATCAGTGACCACGTCCGCGGTTGCTTGGCCCCGATCGAGCTTGCCTTATGTTAAGTGTAACACCCTTCTTCCAATCAAAAGAGTGTCCTTGTGTAAGAGACCTACCCTCAACGTGCATGTTGCAAGATAGCAAGAGGAAAAAGAGGAAGATGGAAATAGCATTGAAAGCCAGTACAAATGAACGACACTTCATTTTCTTTTCTACGGTTTTTTTTTTTTTTTTTGGTAGTGTTAGGTATGGGTGTTATTGTTATCTAATGTGATGATAGAGGAGAGGATCCATTCCTTATATATTAGGAGAAAGAAAGAGAAAAAATGAGAGTTCTAGTTTTCTTTGTGACTAATGTTTAACACTGTTGTGTGGCTCATGCGTTTGAATTTGGGGCTTCAAAATGTAAAAGCTACAATTGACTATTGACATATTGTGGGAGATTGAGGTAGGATATGGAGCAGAGTCAATTTGTCACGCAAAGAATTGTACTTTACAACTTAGTCATCGCATAAAACTCTATATTTTCTTGCTAGATAGGGATACAGAATTCTCCTCCTTGATGTTTTCTCGTTAACCTGATCTTATACTAGATTTTTATTGACCCAACAATAAGGCAGGAGCTCGTCCCCTTCCCCCTGGCTCCCCAACTCCAACCTACTCTCGTTCAGTCCCAAATGCCTAATGTCCTTTTCCCATTACTTCTATCCATTGAACAAAGCCCAAGTTCCTTTAATTTATTTAAAATCTCTTAGATTGAGTAGCAGTCAAACTCAAATTATCTGTAGTTTCCTATTTATCAACATATGCTGCAATCAATTTGGCACTGAGTGGGGCCTAAATGGTTGGCTGGAGAATATTAGAAGAAGTTAATGTTTTACATGCCGCCAAACTTCAAGCCCTGATATGCTCCATCAAATCACTAATGCTTTCCTCACAACTACGTCAGATAAATTATGTGATAGAACATGTTGACGTGACCTTTAAATGAAGAAGACGCGAACCTAGCATCACGTTGCTGAACTGACAACGTCAAGAAGACTCTGTTCTTCAGAAATTTCGTCTCCAATGCTTTAAAGTTTCATGTTTTTCTCCTACAGTAAATTCGAGCCTAACAGATGAGGACGATTATAATATTTACTGATTTGGTAGTGAAAGTCGGCGAATATATTACTTACGGGTAAAGAAAACTAGAAAAATATTGAAGACAAATACAGTTCAAGTTCAACTAACCACCAACCAAATTGAAATTTGACTGTCGATAATGGCATAAAATCAGCAAGTTGAATCATGACAAATGAAGGAAAGAACCCGAAACAAGTCTAACTGTATGAACCCAGCTTGTAGGCCGTCCTGTTACATGACAGGGGTTGCTCGCCTTTTCCAGAGCACGTGCCAGCAAGACACACATGAGAATCAACCTGTTGAATGGGTCAATTCTCTCTTCTTTCCGTGGAGCGAACTGTATGCAAATGGCTTGGCCAAATTCGGCTCTGTCAACGATAGAGTTTTCATACATTTCAGTGCTGTTAGCAATACTCTCTGGTCTTCAGTCCACGGTCCACTATGCTACAAAAGCACATTTCAAAGATTATAAATTCGACCAAATCTCAGATCTTTATAATTATAAGAAGGGAAGATGATGCCACTCGTAGTGGGATGGAAAAATCATAATTCGGCGGCCACCCTTTCCTACCAAAGATAAAATGATCGCACGACAGATGATTTCATGATTTGCTGAGGATATTATAATAGAAAAGAGAGAAAAAATAACTGTTAAAGAAATACAACAAAGGGCCATGATGAGCCATTATTAAAAGCCAATTTCAAATTTGTACACTCAAACCCTAGCCTTGCCTTAAATTTGTGCGACTAACCTAATAATAAGTGCCAATAACATAATTATCAATGCTCATGGTCAACCAAGATGCTAGTGAAAGCGTTGTTGACATGAATAAGAAATTGAATGCTGGTAGCTTCAATACAGCATACATTGTCAATTTGTCATCACCAACCATCAACAATGCAGACTTTTTAACTTGTAGCACCAAAATCATCAAGAAGCCTATCCATCAAAGGCACTGCAGAAACCCCAATCTACCTCAACAAGGTAACTTTGTAATATCTTTTTTCACTTCAATGGATTGAACTGCTAAATTGGGATGATCAACATTGCCCATTGATCTGCTCCTCCGATTGCAAAAACTATTTCTGAAACATGAAATTAAGGTCCCACTCTGCTTAGATCAAAAGGAACCATATAGTAAATTATAATCTGGATTCTCCATTAATCGAGGAATTACAAGAGGATTCACACTGAGAAGAAAAAAGCTACCTCTAAACATAGGTGTTACCAAGAAGATGCTCAAGGGCCAACAGCAACTTCACAGGGGTGGTGATGAAAATGAAAAGCAGCAAGTGCCGCCAACAATGATCCAGTTGTACCACAATGAACATTGGGATCTGCAAGCCCTGTTCTGACCCATTCTGCTCAGTTTAAATAATTTCCCAAGAGTTCCAGGAAAACCTTTCATAAACACAGGCCTGAATTCTTCACCTTGATTTCAGCACTGAGACTTGCACATCAACATCGGGTATGTCCATACTGAACAAATACTCAGGACAGGAGCAATAATACCAATCTTAGAAGGCTTAAATGCCAAAAGCATTCCAAAACCACAAGGCTGAAATTGACAAAAACGGGATGAAAGTCAAAACCTTATAGAAACACATGGAGTTTTATTTGAATGCACTATAAAATAGTAACAGTGATAGCTACGTCATCTCTATAATTTCCAATGGTGCAGAATAAACATTTGCCTGGCGAATCACCCGCAAGATTGGTAACGAGTCATGTCAACCTGGAACACACAAGTGCAACTCCATTCAGAGATGAGTGGCAGATAATAAGTTCAATCATCTCTGAAAACCTGAGATGATAAATAAAAACTATGGTTAGCAAATTTGTGCTAAAGAACGTTAAACTGATGACATCAAGATTCACGGAACAGACTTTGGAGTTCTGCACTATCAACTGACAGCTATCAAATATGAATTCATGCAATCATTAATATGAGATGAGATCAGCCAGGCTTCATATTAATATCCAGCAGAAGGTTAAGAAATCAGACCGTCTGTTGAATGAAACAGTAATTTATTAGAAGGCATATGGTACTCAACTAAGATGGTTTGGCATTCTGGGGGAGACACTAATCATGCAAGCATTGCCACATCGATTAATCTTAGGGCACAACATGGAAATCCAATACTGTCGTGGTTAGCTAAACCATACAAACACCCTCTAAATCAAAAAGGTTTTTTGATCGACACCCCTGAATTATATAGTGTTTTGACTGACACCATCATGTTCGATTCTGTCCGTTTCAGCAATTAAAATATCATGTTCAAGTCGAGTATTTTGCTCAAAACACCAAGAAAATCAATATAAAAAATAAAAATAAAAAATAATTTCTTCAGCTGAAGTTTGATTTCTTGATTTCTTTTTATGAGTTTTTGATAATTTTTAAATATTTTATAGGAAAACACATGCAGCTCGCATATGATATAGTGGAAAACAGACAGAATATAACAGAAAGGGTTTCAATCAAAACACACTATGGTTTGGGGTTCAAATTCAGAAAAATATTGTTAAGAGATGTCAGTCAAAAGACAACTAATTCCGAGAATGTTTGTATGGATTAGCCTGTTGTGGGACAACAAGAATCCATAAAATTCATTCAGCAAACCAAAAATAATTGGAGTCAGCGCAAATTTCACCACCAGTACTTTTTAGAAGAAGTGCATATCGTTTTATGATCACAAGATAAAGCTAAAAGTTTAGATTGAAATGCTAAAAACTTGGATTACGAACACCTCAAAGCAGAGATCCATAGATTCTCCATGGATCCTAGGAAAATCAGCAATATATACCAAGCTACAAACTATCAGATTTGATCTTACCTTCAGGGTTGGTAATTGCTGTGAGACCCAAATTTGGATAGCGAAGTAATTAGTTGAGGATAACTCTTCCTCATGAATTGCTTCATGGTGCAACTTGTTGAAAATCAGTGGAGACAAGAAATCCTTTCAGTAAAGCACTGAAACTTGGTTAAATATGCAAATCTCCTCCATAATTTTCTCCAACAGATGTCTAGAAGATTGAGTCACAAGGACAAGAAGTCAGAATTCCAATCGTTTCTTAAAAGAATAATAAAAGAAAAGAGGTTCAGAAGTAAAGGCGTAAATAAAAAGAGAAAGAAGGGAAGACAAATGAAGACCTCAAAGAAAAATTAAAGCTGCACTACGTTCAACTTCCTAAAGTATAAAATTATGAGCATGCAGCAGTATTCAATGAAACAAATGAGAGATGCTTGGACACAATATAAGCACAAAAGGGTAAATTCTTATTGTGCATGAAAATAAGTAAACAAAAATTTGAAATAAATGACAATCATCATGAGAACATTCAATAATTACTTTCAACGAGGAAACAGGTTCTGACAGAGTATTATAAAATCAAACATAAAAATTGAAGCTACAAAACATTGTTAAATCATAACAAAGCATCTAACCGTCATACAAATTATTCATTCACATCTCAAATATGTATCACACAGAGAAAGGTATGTATCATTAACTAACCACAATAAAACTGATTCCACGATAAATGCAAAACATACCTGACAGAATCAATAGGAAAGTATTTGCTAACCTGAAGGTAAGGAAAGACAATATTGTACACGTGTAAGAGAAATTTTGACTTGGTCGTCAACCTGAGGCAATATTGAAATTTCAGTATCAATAAATGTCAAGCATTTGAATAAGAATTGGCCATATAAATAAAGAGCAACAATCCGGCATTAGCATAGCTTATTAAGACCAGAAAAAAAAAATGGCATCATCATCCGCAAAGTCCAATACTGCAACATAATTGGCCATCAGAAAACAAACCAAACTTAATATTAGCACTAAATTCAAAATTGAACACAGGAGGTGGTTGAGCCTACTACAAAATTCCACATACAAGATTGTCTTGATATGATAAACCTGCTACAAAAGTGGTAGAAAATGCAATGCTCATTTATGAATAACCGACACTTGCTCCTGAAAATGATAAGAGTGGCTTGAAAGAAACTTCTTTTTCGACACAAACTTTTGCAAAACAGCATGGGTGCCCGAATAAGAACTGCCAAAACTTTGGATGTGGTTGAGCCAAATGGCAACCATCCTATAAAGAATTGGGTCTTCAAAGGCAAGGATAATTCGGAAACTAGAGTTCCAGGTAGAGGTTAAAAAAAAAAGAGAGAGAGAGAGAGAGAAAAGAATCGATCTTACCAAACCCAGCTTGCAACTAGGTAAGAAGTAGTTGCACCTACTCTAGCAACAATAACTGGCAAATGTAAAGAACTAAAGGTGCATGTGCACGCATGTATGCACTCACAGAACACACATGCACATGCACACGAGACAAAGGGACAGAGACCAATCAGATACATACACATACCTTCTAAGAAGACGGAAACAAACATAAACTTCTTCGAGGTCTAGTTCCATCTTTATTTTAACATATTGCTTGAAAAGCTCACACAAATCATAAGTAGCTTCCTCACCCCATGCATCACTATCATCCGAAGGATATAGACATTCAGAAATTATGCACTGCAGTATAGGAGATAGACTACCAGATAATCCCAGTTTGTAATACAACTGTGCCAAAGTCTTTAATATCAAGCATTTGCTGACTGTGAACTTATCAACCCATTGTGGGGGACTCCCAATCCAAAGATTCGTATTTAAAACAGAGGCAATAGAATTTGGTTGATTCTCAGTAATTTTAATATTCAAAGATCCCTCAAGATTTTCTGAAAGAGGGTGCAATTCAGCATTAGAAGTTGACTCTTGTTTTCTGTGTGCAGGAAGCTGTCCAAGTATGTCACCTCTCAATTCTCCTGGCAATTGTTGCAACACTGACACATCCACTTGGCTTAGAGATGAAGGCATTAAATCAGTATTTCCAGGGCTTACAGAGCAATTGGCCTCATTCTGCAATCCAGCCCGAGAAGGTCCTGCTTGTGCTTCCTTACTTGTATGCTGCTTTGCGCTATTTTCCACCATTATAACATCAAGGGGAATCATGTCAGATGCAAGAGGTCCCTTGCCACCATCAACTGCAAGCTCTTTCCCTTCAGCTGAAGAGGTGCAAGAATAAATGTTGATGTTTTCACTTGCAACTCTGCTTTTAGCAATGAAATCTGTTAACTTCCCTCCATAAATTTCATTTAACTCCGAAAAAAGTTCTGGTGGAAGACTCTCAACAACTCCCATATCAAGATGATATAAAGGTGGTGGATCTGAAACACCGCTTAATGAATTGTTGTCCATTTGAGCAGAAAACCCAGTCTGATCAGGAAATAATTGGCCTGAACTTCCATTTATATTCTGCACCTCAGAATCTATCCTAGCCCTCTCTTTAGCCATACTGTTGATGCTACATCCTTTTCCAGTAATTCCTGAGGAAGAGGTGAGCCATGACCTCAGAGAGTTTCTTTCAAGCCCTTGTTTAGAAGGGTCTGTATTTTCAAGCTTGGAAACTTGCAAGCCAAGACCCCGAATGTCCTTGACATCCAAGCAGAAAGACCCAAAGAGCTGCTTTGTTACTCTTTGAAGAACTCCGACATCATAAGTAGCAATTGGAACTGTCATGGAGTGGCTCAGATTCTCACAATCCCCACAGCCCATATACTTGGCAGGCTCATCGGCATCTTTTCTTCTCTTCTTTATCTTAAGAGTAAAAGTGCGCCCTTGCACTCCACATCCCTGCAAACGTAAAGAAACCTCCTTGCAAAGATTTAATAGGAAATGTTGACTATCTTGCAAATCCTTGAACCTGACACCCCAATTGACTTCAGCACCTATTGACTTGCTTTCCTGAATGTTACCAACCAGCCGATTATCTACTCCTCTACTATAGTTCCACAACATCTCTCCAGTTTTCTTTCCAAAATCCTTTTGAAGAGATTCCTTGGATATCAAGCATAACTGTCCACAAGTCCAAACATTTCGCTTCTTCAATTTCTCCTCCAAAACATGCCCTATTCCTGGAAGTGCCTTAATTGGAAGTTTGTGTAGATACTCATCCACCCTTTCAGAAGGGATATAGCATTGACCATCAGGTTTAGCACTTCTGGTGGCAAGTCGAGCCATGAGCATATTCCCAGCTATCCCAGCACTTGCAGTGCATCCTGTGGTCTCAAAAATCTCTTTCCTTATTGTTGAAGCTAAAAGCTCAGGATCTCCCACATCTGTATCTGTGACATCTAAAAATGCTTCATCACAACTTACGGCCTGCACTCTGTTGCAGTGCTTATGCAGGATGTTATATAACTGATCAGCTACTTCTTCATAAGCTTTGAAATTGTACGGAAAGATGACAAGGTGCGGACAAAGAGCTTTGGCATCTCTAACAAAAATCCCAGCCTTAACTCCATAATTTCGGGCAGGGTAGTTTGCTGATGAAATTTCAGCTGTTCCTTTTGGGTTGTCAGAATGGCATACAGCTACAGGCTTATCATGTAACTCTGGATGGTTCCGAATGACTACAGAAACAAAAAAGCAGTCCTGTGCAGCATATAAAAGTCATTGACTACCAAGAAAACAAAATATGAGGGAACATGATGCAGAAAAAAATATCCAAAAGGAGTCGAAGCCCAACTAGTCATACAGTACTGAAACTTATACCACCACAAAATCAACAATGCCTATATACTAAAAATGAAAATGGTGATAAGGTAGAACTATTCATAAACTAATGCCAGCCTTAAGAGATAACATATTCTCCATGCAATTGTCAGGTATTGTGTTGCAAATACACCCTGCACCTTAAACAAGTAGGAGGCTTATTTGTACTAGTGTGCTGAACCGTTTAGAAAAGGAAGAAAGGCATTTAACTGTTCAGATTCCTGATTCCACAATCCTAGCATATGAGTACCTGAACTAATTCATAAAGAAAGACAACATGCAAGCAGGAGTATTTTCATCAACAATACCATGTCAACATGGATAATAGTAGACTTCTGAGAATTATCAGAGGTGATGAGATCTGAGCTTCTGCACTTAAAGTCGCTTGATGAGCTAGGAAAACGCTTACGGTACCGACTTCTCCAGGTTCCTATGAAGTGCAGCCTTGAGCTCTGCAGAAACCAAAGACCAGTCAGCTTATCACCAAATATGGCACCAAGGGAGTACCCTAAACTATTGACAGATGGGGGAATGGAAAATTCACATGATGTCAAGAAAGAGCAATCATGTCATATGAAAACTCGGCATTCAAATGTCCTGTAGAAGCAGTTGTGACTTCTACACAAGCATATGAATCTACACGACCATATATAATAAATCTACTTTCCTAATAAATGGAATTGAATGTGAAAGTCCACAAAAACATGTAATGGATGCTATGCAGAGGACCTGATTGAGAAGAACAAATTTTTACTGTGATGGATGTCATGTCAGTAGTAACAGAAATCTAAAAGGCAGACTCATAGTGAAAATTCTGTTATAGCAGGCCTGTGAGAACTGAGAAAAGGATTGCATCATAAGATCAACAACACCCAAATAGCTAATAGTCCTTTTCAGTTTGGTGGCTGAAAATTTAGTATTTTAACTAAACACAAAGAGATCCCAAAATAATTATTTAAAATTTTAAAAGAGGACCACTAGCTCAAGTTCTAGGTAATCATTCATGCACATGCAAGAGAAACCCTTGCTAAAACACATATTATCTCAAGGGATTTTAATTCAAGTGCGTCTGCTAGCCAAAAACTCAGGAAGTAAGACATGCCCAACATAATTGCTAAAAAGTTTCTTTAAGTTTTAAAAAATAGGAGTTAAACAAGATAAACAACAGTAGAGAAGAAGCATGGGGGTGGCAGCAATCTTCTTATTCAATATTGCAGTCAACATTCTAATCCAATACCTTAAAGTAATTCTCCACGAAATTGGGATCCCCAAGAGTTGAATGGCGTTGATTTGAAGGCCCGACAGATTCTGAACTCGGTGATTCTTTCATACTTTGATTGAGTAAGCAATGGTCACTAACTGAAGCAGAAAGTTGATCTGGACTAGACTGATGGTTGTTGTTTACACTGTTTCCATCTTCCGCATCACTACTACTAGGTTCTTCAATCTTTACTTCTGATGATTTTCCACTACTGCTATTTGGCTCCTCAAGCTGAAGCTTAGGATCATCAAATAGTTTGTCCACTTGCTCAGTATCTCTCATGGGTTCACCTACTTCAGATATATTTGCATCCCGTGGTGTGCCACCCTTAAAAAATGGATCCAGATTTACTTGACAAGCTTCATCAGTCAAAACATTCTCCGGGATTGGGTTACCTTTCATGGTAAAGAAGGCTGACAATTTTGGTTGGTTATTGGCAAGCTGGTCAAGCTGGTAAGGAACCCCTAGAAACAGCACAATAAATTCCATAGAATCAAGATGTATGACATTAATGATACTTTAACTCCTCTCAAGCATCAGAGGAAGAATCCCCTAGGCCCACATGGGGCGATGGCCCCATCAAATTTGAAACTCTATTAGTTATACCCTTTTGCCACAAGGACTTTATCTCTCAACTATTATCATGGCACTCATGGAATAAACTTTATATTTTTATCATGTCATCTATCCAAGCTAAGTATCAAAAAGTTAATGCCAACATTTCATCATGATAAAAGAAAGTATTTCACCTCTGCTGAGTAACAGTCAAACTCCTCTTCTGATGGAAGGACAATAAATTCACCTGTCTTTTAATAATAGAAAAAAGTACTGTATGCAAATGTTTGCTACAAATATGCATATATAATGTTCATATTCAAACACATATGTGCGCATGATATCCTGCCCTGTCTGCCCCCACCCCTGCAAATTGTTCTAGCACAAGCAAAACTGCTTTTCAAAGTATTGACAGAGAAAACAAGGAGAAAGCAATACAAATTCCCCTCACCATGGGGAGCACTTACATTTAAAAATCCTCTAATCCTTTATCAAATCCATTTCTCATTAGAAAATTAGATTTAGGAAGTTCTCTTATTGTTTATTTCTACTCTCCATCATATAACTATGCCATCTATAAAGACAAGTCAAAATCAGCAAAACAGGCAAACTTACAACCCAAAAGTTTGTTGGCAACAATAGAATCTAAAATCCATGCAGGTTTGACCACTGGAAGCCCGCCACTAAATGATCTGCATGGGAATTACCAGCAACGAAAAGCAAAATTAGTCCCGTTTCCATGCTTATCAGTTTTAGAAAATAAAACCAATAGCCAGTGTGAACCTCAGATTCTTGATTTTACTATCGGGAAGATTGCTACAAATTATATGCGTAACTCGATGCCTAGAAAAGTAATTCTCAAATCGCCCACCATACTTCAACATGTAAGCTCGCAGTTCCTGAAGCAGATGTAAATATCAAACACCAAATAAAACAACAAGGAATCGCAGCTTAAAAGAAATGTATAAAAAACTGACCTGGTTCGAAGGAATTGTAAAACCATCTACAAAAATAGAGACTCCTTGAAAAATCAGGTTCCCGGAACTCGAACCATTATGGGAAGAAGTGGAAGCCTCTGCCTCAAACTGGTGTTGAAGCTTCCTATTCTTCTCTGCCATATAACTACACCCAAATTTCACTAAAAATTACAATCATAACACAATCAACAAAAAATTATTCACAAATTAAGTTCCATTTAAAGTGGAATTAAATTATACTTCTAAAATTATTAAGCAGCACATTAACAATAACTTCAGGAAATTTAAAGCAACGGGTTCATTTCTTTTGAAATTTCAAGTTCTACAGAAAGATCGAATCAACGGAAATGATGTGACAAATTATTAAAAAAAATGATAGTGAGAGAGAGGACCTGCTGAAATTGGAAAAGGGAGAGTTGCGAAAGGAGGAGCGAGAGGAGGAGAGAGAATTGGCACCCCAAGCCATGCCTAGGGTTTTTTGCTTGCTTTTTTTGTTATTTGAAGAATTCGAATTGTTCAAGCTTCTCTTCGATTTTCGACTGGAATTAGCAGAGGAAGATCGACAAGAATCAAAACTCATTTTCTTTGCACCTTTTTTTCTTTTTCTTTTTTTTTTGCAAAGATAGAGGGAGAGAGAGAATCCAAATGGACTGCAGAAGAAGCTTTGATTCTTGCGGTTCGTGTGTTTTAAATAAAGCGGCAAAAAAAAACCATTTTTATAGGCAGGAGAGAAGAGCGGCTTGGCCCATTGCTTAGACAAACTAGAATCGGGGTCCGGCCTCAATTTCCTTACGGCCCTAATTTTTAATTCTAATTGTTTGGGTAGGGAACTAGAACGCGGGATTTTTTTTTTTTTTTAATGGGGATTGATTTTTTGAAAAAAATAAAATAAAAATAAAACCGAGAGAGAGAGAGAGGTTATCCAACACGCAAGAAATTGTTACTTTCTGTCTTTCTTTCTTCTTTCTTTCTTTTTTTTTTTAACTTAAATCGTTCCAAAAATTTGTTGCTGCTATCGTTCTTCCACCAATCGCAAAACCTTTTTCATCGTTCTCCATTTTTTCAATTTCAACAATTAATTGAACCCATTCATTAAAAAAAAAAAAACAATCAAGTGGCCATTGATTCATATAATAACTTCGTCTAATCCACTTCGAAAAAGGCTTTTTACCGAGAGCCGTTTCCATTTCATTTAATACTAGATTTTTTATATATGTTAAACTACGAGCCCGTTGATTCATATGATAACTTCGTCTAATCCACTTCGAAAAGGGCTTTTTACCGAGAGCCGTTTCTATTTCATTTAATACTAGATTTTTTATATATGTTAAACTACGAGCCGAACAAAATTTATAAAATTATTTTATTTTAATATCTCGTGTTATATTTTACATCTATCAAAATAAATTAAATTTTATATTCAACTGATTATTCTTTATATTTTTCATAATTTTTTTATCAAAAAAATATTTAACGATATAAAGAATGTCAAAACCAATGGATTCTTACCTAAAAATATATTTTGTAATTTTTTTAAATATCATTTTGCCTTAAAATTTTTATTAAAAAAATCAAAGAAAAAAAAGGACCAAATTAATTAAATAAAACAAAAAAAGATCAAAACCAAACAAAAAATATCTACGAATTGAAAAAAAAAAAACAAAGTACAATGTTACAAAAATTTTTATAATAAATGCATTAAAAATATTTAAAAACTACAAAAATATCACAACATAGTAAAAGAAATACAAATAATGAATCTAAATCTAAGTTAATAGTAAAATGAGTATGAATGAATATTATTTCAAAATGTGAATAATAATTTTACTTTAGTTTTATTTATAATTTATAATCCAGGTTGCTACATGCCATTGCAACTATTTCTCTCTGCAAGAGTAAATTCCTAGTCATATGGGTTTTGTATTGATTTCTTATATTGTTGCATTGAAATGTAATGTATCAAAACACTAGTCGTTCCTCAATCATTTTCAAGTTTCTACAGATTTTCAAATGGAATGTATCCTTTCATACAACATTGGCAATTTGTTGGATCAACTGCTTGCCATTTGCCAAATAATAACATCAATTCATACACACATGAAGACGGGAAGAATTCATCCCTTTTTTTTACAATTCTATATTAGGAAGGAAGCCTGATATGTTCCCTTAATGAGCGAGGCACCTCGTATCAATGGAATGACCAATAGGAACTTAGACTATACAATGAAAGTAACCCTTCTTCTATCCTCCAAATTCCCATCTACCACCCTCCCGTCTCCACGTTGAGAGAGTTTGAGCCTCATACATCTAGTAAAGATCCTACACTTACAATCGCACTAGTTAAAGAGGCAAACCGCGGACTATGTGGAATTAATTCCACGTACTAAAAATTCACCAACTAATTTGGTGCACTAGAAAGACTAAATACTCCATGTAAAAGAAACAATTAGACTACCAACCAACCCTTCTTATCAAAATCGGCATTCATAATTAGTAAAGCCTGGAAAATTTACAGGTGTAAGCCATGCTAGAAAGCTATCTATGCCAAAAAGGCCACACGTATACTCCCCAAAACGAGTAGAGAAGCATCCGCCCTTTTCCCTTCTCCACTTTTCAGTACCTTCCGAAAGTCTCACCTAATTTACATCAAAAATAGGTAGAAAATCCATTTTCACCTGACGTTTGGTTCTGCTCCACCATTCATGATTCCTTTCGTTCTTTACTTCCCTGTCTTTTTACCCTTTCTTGACCTTATTCCAACTTGAGCTACAGCTCTCAAAAACTGAATTATTATAATAGATTCACGATTTACTTGATGAGAATGATGAAAAGTTGTTTCCCGTAGTAGCAGGAGACCAGTAATCAGCACCATTACTGCTTGCCACGTGAACGGTGCAGTCCACAGGGACCAGACACAACCCTCTGCTCCTCAGATTCTCTATTGACTCCTCTCTTCCATTTTCTCCGCCATCCTAACATTGTTTTACCACAGTAGAAAAAGAAAAGAACGGAAGCCCCTGTCAGTATCAATTAGTACTTATAACAGTCTGACTCTTTACCCCAAAAGCCAAAATTTGTTTCCCCATGGTCAAAATTTTCACTTGGTTCGTGTGGTCTAATCAAGAATACGTGGGAACTAGGTAAGGTGGACCCTGATGCTATGATGTGGAAACATATGGTCGTTTTGAAGAGAGGGGAAAACAGGACAAAATAATGATGTGTACTTGGTACTTACAGGTAGATTTTGCAGGTAAGGAGAGCACAGGACCTTCACCTGATCTTGCAGGAACCTAATGTATCCCATCGCTTCATGTAGCACCGATGCCGTGTCTGTCTGCTACATTTCAATTCCCAATTACATGGTACTCATCATGTAGAAATCCAATTTCATAATCCAGAAAAATAAAAATTCTTTGGACGAGAGACAGACAATAATCTTAACCAAATTAAGTATAGAAAAATTCGTAATCGTGTGTATTTTTGGACCTTGCCAAAGGGTGATACAAGCTGTTGCAACGCAGTGATTCTGTCTCCTAGCTTCTCTCTCTTCACCTATCATCACAAGGAAATTGCTGATGATCAGTAGTTCGGTACACTTTAGTCGAAAGAAAATTACATATATGTGCAGTATGCATGCAGGTATATCCCAGAAATTAAGAAAAACTATAAACCTTGACCTTTGCGTTTCCATTTGATCTGGGATTGTCAGTTTTGGCCTTCTTGCTGGTTCTCTGGCTTGGAAAAGGAGTTTTGGCTATGTTGTTGGTGCTTTTCACTGGTACTTCTTGGCTCGACCCATTTCTTTTTCTCTGGAAAACTAGCAAATATATATTACAAAAAAAAAAAAAAAAAAGACCAGAAAAATCCATAAGCTAATTCAACCAGATACTTACGTTTGATTTGGAGATGGTACTGATTACATTAACAGTACTGTTGCAGTTTTTGTTGCCAGAAGAAGCTGAAGATGAGTCACTGCATGTGACCCCAGAGATTTGAGGGGTAGTTTTTGTTGCTTCACGAAACATCACAATGTCACTTTCACTCTGACAAGTATAGCCCCCGAAACAAAGCATTCTGGGAGGCCTTTCAATGGAAGAGAAACGAAAAGCATGGGCCATATGCACACCAACACCCACATCATCATCGTCACAGAAGAGCAATTCAGAGAAACTAGGAGGATTGCCCTCTGCTAAAAGATGATTCCCCTTGAGAAAACTCTCACTCTCAGACATCTAAAACAAAGCCTGGAATTACAAAGACAACGTGTAACAAATGGCGCTCTTTGCTTGTGCGTGAGTGTGGTGGTGTAATCAGGTCAGGAGGGAAGAGGAAGCAGCCGTTACAAGAGAGAGAGTGGAGAGTGACTTCTGCATTGTATTGTGTGGAAGTGAAGTTTGTGGTGCTTGGGATATTTCCAAGATTGGCTTTGGGTTTTGGTGTGTTTCGGTCAAACCCACCTAGCCCCGAGAAAACCGTGGTTTAGTCCTCCAAAGCATTTGATTTCGTTGACACCCAGTTAGGTTTCTTTCTTTCTTTCATTGCTTGGCTCAGAAACCAGACTAGTCACGACCATGCATCCACTGGTGCTGGTTACAATGAAACTGACTAGACTCAACAAGTTTTCATAGACTAAAGGCACGTACCCTTATTTAGACGCAACCACCCCACGCCCCCATCAAAACGGAGGTAATCAGATGCTTTTTAGCATGGAGTATTAATTAACTAATTTAGCACAAATTAAAGGCTGTGGTAAATACAGATTGAATGGCAGGTCCTTTTTTTTTTTAATCATGCTTTGAATGGCAGGTCCTTGAAAACTAATTATGAATCGTTGAGCTCTTATAATAGCAGCATCTTTGAACATTGCTGACTGGATAAGATTTTTTAACAAGAGCTTCTTTTTTTTTTTTTTTTTGGTATTTCTCTTGATTGATAGGAGACTAAAATACCTAACCTTCTTCTCAGCATTTATCTTAGAAATAATTAATTTTAAAAAATTTGGGATTTGCTTTTGGGTTGAATGGTTTTATTATTCACATTATTATTGCAAATTTGAAATCAAAATAAGATTATGAAAAAATATATTCATAATAATCCAAACGAAATATTTATTTTCTATACGTAAAAAAAAAAAAAAAAGATCAATGAAACAAAAATAAAAAACACTAATTCATTATTTTGAAACTCGCTTCTAATGTAAGTGTTATTTCTATTATTGTTGCAAATTCGAATTCAAGGAATGACAGTAAAATAAATCTCATGATTTAGATGTTGCATGAAATCATATTCGAAACAAAATTAGAAAAGTTTTTCCTCAAATGTGTTAGAATTTGATTAAAGATAATCTAATAGTCAAAACCAAAACAGAATTTGTATCTTTTATGGTCAATCTTACTGATTACATGACGAAATTATCATCAAGCTCGTCATTAAAAAACATCATCATGTAGTATTGAAATCAAGCAACGCCCAACCTACACTACATGGGCCCAAAAAAAAAGAGGAAAATAAAATTCATGGAACTCCATTAAAAATGCCAGTAAAATTTGGAGCTGGTTGGCCTTTGTTGGGCTAGCTAGTGCGTTGGAGACTCTGATAGATGGGGAGCGTAGGGTATGAAACATGCAGCTTTCGTTATTTTGCAAAACTAACGTAAGACTATCGCAGCAGATGTTACAAATGGGCCCGCGAGTTGTTATCAAAGAAGGATCGGCAGCGGAAGATTGGCGGTCCTAGAACCACGTGATCATATATTTCCATCCGATCACCAGCTGACTAAATCAGGTGCTGTGACGAAGGACGATATCAAAGGTAATGAACAGCTGTAAGATAAGGTACGTATTGAAGTCGCGTGCACACTCGCACTTTTACATGTATTGGTGTCATTATTTCTTTCTTTTCTTTTTCCAACAAGAAGGATGTTTTCAATAAAGATAAATTTATCCATTAATTAATACTAAATATCTCTTCAAATATTTTAAGAATTTATACATATCAAAATTAAATCTCTCTTGAGATATTTCAAGAGAATTTTTTCATTATAAAAGTTATTTACTGTTTGGTCTGACATATGAGACAAATATAATTATATAAAAAAATTATATATAAAAAGATTTAAAATTAAAAATATTTGTTTAACCAATTAAAATCTCTTTCAATCAAACCACTTGAATGGAATAATGAGACAAATATCTTTAATTATTAAGCCATCTTTTGAAATTCTTCTCCTTTCCTCATGCCTAGCATTGCAGCTTTTTCCCCCTTTTTCTTAGCCAAGTGCTTTATCAATCTGTGCATATTTGGGATGACTACGCAGGTATTAAAGCCAGTTTTTTTTCTTCCCCACTGGAGGTAAATTCGCCACAATAAAACTAGTTGATTTATAATAAAAACATATAATATCATGACTAGTGGGAGTGAACAAAGACAATTGAAATATATCAATTAGTTTGAGTTTCAATATATTTGTTTGATTGGTGAGATTTTTTTTGTTACTCTAATATCATATTAAATTAGATAATTAAAATTAAATTTTATCTAAAAAGAAAAATAAAGTTTTGTGATGGATGTCTCATTCAACATTTTTTATATTTGCACCAAATGATGTATTCTAACACTAAGATGTTGTTTGATAATCGGGAACGAAGCGATGAAAATGAAAATAAAAGTTTTATTCCTATCTTATAGCTATTTGGTTAAAAAAATAAAGTGAGAATAGGAAAAAAAAATTACACATAACTTCATTTCTATTTAAAATGTGAGAATGTAAATAAAAAATAAGAATTAATTTTTTTCAAAATAATAATATATTTTATTAATTTATTATATATTAACTATTTATACCAATACAACCACTATTGCCACAAGAACCACCACCACGATTACCTTTATTATTTTTACAATCATTGTAGTTTCATAAAATTATTTTTATTTGTATAAAAAAACAGATGTTAAAAAATTTAAATTGTATTTTGATTCCTTATTGATATTATAAATTTAGTATAGAAATGAAAATGCCATTTCAATTCCTTAATTTTCATTCGATTCCTACATTCTCATTTCGGACATCTCATTCTTGATAACCAAACGATACCTAAACATTTGTTTTAGTTTAGTCAAGACAAAAGTTCGAGTTCTTATTATCTACCAATAACTAATTATAATTATCATTTCGTGATACTAAGATTTTATTGGTTTGGTCTAAGAAACAGATCGATAATCAATTAAGCTGTTAAGCATGTTATGGTATTAGTTTTGGTAAAAAAAATGATGAATTTAATACTAGTTGATACAACAAATAGTCCAATAATATCCCACTATATGTAAGTATTAAAAAAATATATTTTTATATTTATTCAGGATAATATATATATTCTTCGATAGATAAAAACATTCGACATGAGTAACTAAAAATTTTGAAAATAGTTTTTTTAAAAAAACCATAAGTAACAACATTAGCAATCATACTCTTAATTTATCAAATATCCTGAGGATACATCCTCCTTCTCTCTTTCTACGTTGTTGCTCCCACCAATTAATACATGTTCCGTATCAGAATATAGAAGGTGAAAATTGAAAATTATCCATTTCCTTTACTCGTGCTTGATACAATTTTTAGAAAAATGAAAACTTTAAAGAAGTTTAACATTTAATCCGTTAAAGGTGGAGGAGTAAAGAATTTTTCAAGAGGAAAAAACTTTGATTTCCCTGCCTTTTCTTCTTCAATTTTGTTTTTTTTTAATCTGCACCATCTTTTCTTCTTTCGCTTCCGCCGCAGATTAGGAACCACAAACATACATCGTTTAATCTTTTTTCACAATTTCGTTTTATTTATAATTTGATCTGATACAGTTGGGACCCATTACTACATATAATTTTTTTAACTTCTACTAAATATTATTAGCACTTTACCTCTTAAATGCTTTAGATACCCTTGATTTCTCTTTAATTATTCCCTCAAATTTTTCATCCCATGCTAAACAAAACCTGAATACATGCTTGTATTTTTCCTTTTCTGATGTTGCCTTTAGTTCGGTTTTAGTTGTCTTCCTGTTATCCTTTTTTTTTAAAAAAAAAATCCCAATCAACAATCTTTCATATTCATTAAACAGCCACATTCCAATATCCTAACCCCAAGACATACAAAAACCTTAAATTGCAAACATGACCAAAACCTCTAGAGAGCAATGCTCGAAGGTTATAATTTAAAAGGGAAGCTTATAAGGGATTCATGTTGAAGATAATAATAATAATTAAAAAAAATCCATATGTTTGGAAAAACTGTAGTTGCCAGTGTCACTGTAGCTGTGGTTATTATATATATATATATATATATATATATATATATATATATATTTAAAATTGATAAGTTAATATACTTTTATATTATTATATGAAAGTCAAAATCTCAAAAATTTCGTTTTGTAATTTATAACTTCTAGCTTTCAATAGTTTTTCAAAATACCATTCAAAATTTCATCAAACATATTTTTCATTAGTTTTTTATTTATTTTAAAATCCCCAATTTTTTTTTTTTTAAAGCTCCCTTCATCAATAAGGGCACTTCTTAGATTAATAAATTTAATATTTAGATTCGAGTTTGTTAGAAAACGAATTAAATAAAAAAATAAAAATAATCACATAACACATAGATTTACGTGATTTGATAATTATACTTATTATACGGTTATGTGAAGATTTTTAATAAGTTTTATTAAATAGTGACTTCAAATATAAATAATATTATTTATATTTATAATATGTATAACTAAATTATAATAAAAAAAAAATTAACCAGCCTGTACATCTGGTCTAACAAGCCCAGAGTCTTATATTGTAAATTTCTATCAAATAAATCTCAAAAAATTAATATAATTTTGTCACTGGCTCTTTCAAAAGATGGCAGATCTATTCTTTAAATGGCAAATGATAGAAATCGAACCTCGGTGAGATTTACAGTTTTTCTCCCAGCACTTTACCACAGGCCAGTAAAAATAACTAACCTAGGGGGGTGGAATCGAAAGAGTTGACGAAGATTGATTTGGTTACTAACAAGCTTTCTATAAAAATAACAACGATGGAGCAGTCGATCTTATAGTGGACAGCGAGTGAAAAATCCATCGCAGCCCACCAAATTATTCGGCTGCTGCTGGTATAGTTTCCACTTTTCAGAGCTACTGCTAGCCGGCAACTACAAAAGAGGAGACACACACAGACCACGTGGCAATTATGT